GATCGATATATCGAACGTGCCCTAAAATGTGCGGCCTAGTTTGAAGATACCTACATGTCCAAGTGTTCTGAATACAGATAAGCATGTTTTGTCGCTTTGTAATCATTCAGCACATTAAAGACTGAGCAGGTCTTTAAAGGGAAACAGTATCACATGTTCATGTTAGTGACAGTGCTTTGGGGAATAAAGCCAGCTCTGCTCATTTTATCCTCTTGTTGTGATGTCGGCACTCATCAGCGCTCAAGTCTTTCAGCATTTTGAACCACCTTTTAAACAAGAGAGCTTCAGTAAGTGCTTTTAATAGTAGTTTAAAGAAATCGTGATTTAGGCAGAAGCTGCTCTTCATACCCCAGAAGATACTTTGAACATGAGGCTGAGTGTTAAGGATGGATAAATACACCCAAACTATTAGCCCAGAGCTGCTTTAACTCGGGGTGCTCGTTGCTGTTTGGAGTTAGGAGGAGGAAAGAGCGAGCGAGAGAGGGGGAGTGAGATGGACACACACTGGGCATCAGCTGTTGTGGTCAGCCTGGATGGACTGAGGAGTGACAGCTAGCTGTGTGTGTGCATTTGAAACCAGAGAGAGCGCCGTGGTTAAATCAACATTCAAATAAATAACAACAACAATAAACTGCCCGGTGCGAGGCTCGCCGCAGGACGCCGGGGGTTTTTCTTCCTTGCCCCCGTGGCCCCCACCGCAGCATGACTGTGCTGAATAAAATCTCCAAATTAATTTAAGCAGGGCTCCGTGGAGAGCTGAGGCGCCACGCCGAGCGGAGAGCGCTTCCTGCCGCGCCGCACACACACAGCTGTGCTCGCCATGAGTCAACAACACTACCTCAGCCTCCCCTCCTCTCGCGCTCGCTCGCTCGCTCGCTCTCTCTATCGCGCTCACTATCACGCTGTCCCTCCATATCGCTCTGTCTTGCTCGCTCACTCTCTCACGCTGTCTCTCGCTCACTCACGCTCTCTCGTTCACACTCTCACTTGCTCTCGCGCTTTCTCACACACTCTTTCACTCGCTCTCACTCTCTCTCCCCCTCTCTCTCCCTCCCTGACTCTCTCTCTTGCTCTCTCGCTGTGTGTGTGTATGTGTGTATGTATATATATATATATGTATGTATATGTATGTATGTATATATATATATATGTATGTATGTATGTTAGGGGTGCGGGAAAAACTCGATTCTTAGATGCATCGCGATGCGGACATGAACGATTCTGAATCGATTCACAAATGTCAAAAATCGATTTTCTATATATTTAATTTATACCGTAATGTTGACGGAACGCAAAAGGCGGAACCTGGAGGTGCGGAAGTGCAGCGCCCGGACAGTTTGTGGCGGCACATAACAAAAACACAACTGGATGAGTGAGAAACCCGACCGGCTCCCTCTGCATTAAAGCCAGGTCAGGTCAGGAGTCACAACACAAATGATAAGAAGAGCCATTTTGACCTTTCAACAAAAATCAAACCGAAATATTCGAAAGAGAAGCGACTTCAGCTTCACCACTGTTTAGTGTTTGACAGTCTCTCGTTGCAGATTTAACGTACCAGAAAACCAACTGCGCTGCTTATAAATGCGAATAACGCATCGTTGCTATGTGACCTGCAGTCTGCACGCCGGTTCTCAGTCGAAACAGGGCTTTCGCGCTATGTTGCACACGACCCGTAGATATTTTACTGACACAGTGATCCCCCCGTCTCTACAACGAGACCAAAACCGAAGTTATAAAATCACTAAAGAAAACGGGTAGAATAGCTGTAACATGTGCTGCGTGGTCATCCATCACCACTGGATCTTATTTCACCGTAACTGCGCATTTTATCGCAGATGAGTAGCAGCAGCGCCTCGTGCTCCAAACAAGAGCAGTGAATGAGAGCCTTCTAGTTCACTTACCACATCACTTCCATTTGATTTATTAAAAAAGATACTAGGAGTAAATTCATTATGGATCATTACAAATACTTTGCTTTAAAAGTACCAAGTCACTTTAAATAACAACTCTGAGTCACTTTCAAATGTATATTGTCTCTATATTCTGTGTATATTTTGTGTATGTTTTGTGTATATTTAATATATTTCAGTTGGTTTTTCTTGTATTTTTATTTTTACTTATTTACTCTCTGTAGAGTGATTAGCTGAGCCTCACCACAAGCATTTCAATGCATTAATCTCCTGTCATGTTGTGCAAATGACAAATAAACTTGAAACTTGAACTCGAAACTTGAGCTCACACAGTGAGAAAATATAAATCCTATATAGAAAAAAAAGATGCATCGATAATCGTTTAATAATCGCATCGCAGCCTCTGAATCGTAATCGAATCGAATCGTGAGGTGCCTAGAGATTCCCACCCCTAATATAAATATATATATATATATATTTATATATATATATATATATATATATATATATGTATATATATATATATATATATATATATATTCAGCCTGTATCACCGCCACAGAGCTCAGCAGGTAGTTAACGCAGCTTATAACATATGTATATATATGTATATATGTGTGTGTGTGTGTGTATATATATATATATATATACACACACACACACACACACACACACACACACACACACACACACACACACACACACTATATATATATATATATATATATAGTGTGTGTGTGTGTACAGTGTACACTGTGTTGCTCATTTGTGAGGATTTCCGTGGTTTCGTGCTCAGATACGTTAACTACCTGCTGAGCTCTGTGGCGGCGACACAGGCTGAACTGGTAAATTTGAACATGGAAAACAGCATGATTTTAAAACTTATCTTCAGCATGAGGACACCATGGTATAACACACAAACCTTCATATGGAGAGAGCTGATGAAAAATGAACAAGACTGCTGGGAAGCTCTCTACTCAGTCTGTCTGTCTGTGTATCTATCTATCTATCTATCTGTCTATCTATCTATCTATCTATCTGTCTATCTGGGCTGTGTATTGGCAAGAACCTGGCGATACGATACGTATTGCAATACAGGAGTAATGATTCACTGTATTGCGATATATTGTCAATCATATTGAGTTTTTTTAACCTAATTTTAGGAAAACTGTCATAATAAAAAAAAAATCAGCATATGTATAAAATCTGAGTAAAAGAAAGGGTTTTTTTTTTTTTTTTGTTTGTTTTTTTTTAATGCTGTCAGAACATTTATCACAGTCCCTGTAACTTCCAATATTAGCACCACTTCTTTTGCAGTCCAAATAAAGAAATTTTAATTTACTATCATTAAAAACTAATTTAAAAAATACATTTTTACCTCGTTTGTACCACTTGGGCACAGCAGTGTCAGTGATGTGTTGTCGGGAGAATGTGGTGTAATGAAGCTCCACTGTGTTCACCATATTACGGAAGCCTTGTTCTGACACATTGTGCTGCCTTGTTGAAATGTCGTACCGTAGGACCTAAATATAGACAGTTCCCTACGTAGGAAGGACATTTTTATTGCCTTAATCACACGGAGCTTCCTATTCACCAGCTTCTTGCAAGAATTTTCCCGTTCCAGCTTAAATGGTGCAGCACTTATTACAATGGCGAAAGGCTGTGGCACACAGGAAGCGCCGCGTTGTGCAGCGTCCAAAAATCGGAAACTATTGTTTGTAATGGAGGTTTGCATACCGGCGCCGGCAGCGCGTCACTGTTCAGTTTCTTAGAGCATCACAGTGCATCACGCAGCATTTCGCCATTACTATGTTAAATTAAAGCCATATTGAGACCCCAAAAACACAGTAGATAGTAGTGGCTTGAAATTGCACATAAAGGCATCCAGTCTTTTGGATAAACGGGCATATCTAATGGTCAGTTACCCCAGCTAACGTAACGTAGAGGAGGTAAACGTGTGCCAAGCGTGATGAGTGATGCTGAAAACTTCACTCATACAAATTAAAAGAAATAAAGTGTAAATATGAATCTGAACCTGGCGTTTTTGGGCATTTCCTGTCGGCGCTCTGTAGCAGCGCTCTGCTACGTGACTCTACACGACGAGTCGCGACGCGCCTGGTGTGCGACGGCCTTTAGGTGCCAGAATATGACTAGTTTGAGGTTGAACAATTCAAACAAGAAGCTGTCGAATAATTAGCTGACTTCAGCCGTGTCTAAATCCCCTTATCAGAAAATGTTACCAGCGTTAAAAGAGTAAGTAGGATATTTTGATAGCCTAAAGCACCGTATCAAGAGCTACATAGTAATATTAAGCTGCACAACAGACTTGAAGTAAAGCTGAATTGACATGAAAAACGCAAGTTACTATGCTGTAGTAATGATAAGGGAATGCTCGCTCGATGGGTAGGACACACTGTTAGAGCAGCGGTCCAGGTCTTTCAGATTCAGACATCGGTGGTAGCCTTACTACTCAGCCAGGTTTGCTAATGCTAACGTTAGCGGTGAGCCCTTATGCTATTTCTAATGTCTAATGGCTGAAGATGGATTACAACACTGCCATCCACTGGTCGCAGGTTTAAACACAACACAAAATAAACTGTCTGCTGCGAATTGTTGCGTGTAAACAATTAAAAATCGTCTGTGTTTTTGAGAATTGATGCAGTATCACTCAAGTGTATCGATATTTCTTGCACCCCATCTATCTATCTATCTATCTATCTATCTATATATTTAATCTTTACCCAAAAGTGCTCTCCAGTTTTACTCGTGTAATTCCCACCTACTGCTGTTTGCGATCTCCTTGACAGTACACAGTTGTGTAAAGCTCTATTTATATTATTAAAAAGTTGTTGAGTTTAAGAGAATGTGCAGGGCTGGGACGATAAGACGTGTAGAGCTTCGGCTCCTGAGTGAGTTGGTGGAACTTCCTGTGCTCAGTGTTTCAGCAGAACGATTTTCAAGCTCTTTCTTAGTTTGTTCTCTTTCAGCTGCTTGTAATTGTAAGTAATTTTGAATATTCATGATTTTTAGCACCGTCTGTTTGGTAGGTTTTGCTGTTACTGTGGAATAACAGCCTCACTCTCTTTGCAGAATGTCCTCAGAGGATAAGAGTGTGGATCCCTCTGACCAAGGCCCATCTCCTCCCCTGAGCAGTGCAGGGGCCACACCCTCAGGGAGCCCAGCCCCCTCGGATAAGCGCCCCAGAGGACGGCCCCGAAAGGATGCTGCTGCACCCAAACCCAAACGCAAGTACGTATCTTCCTCTCGTAAGCGCGTCAGAGCGTCGGGCATCGTTTTGAGTTGTGTGGTACTGGGTCTTGAGTTTATCACCGCAGGCTTTGCACGTAAAGCATTTCTGTTCCTGGAGGTCCTGAAGGATCCGGGCCCAGCACAGCTTGGTGATGGATTTATTTATTTATTTATTTTTTATTTTTTTCCGCTTACCAAAAGTGGAAACTAACTGCTGAATTGATCCAGGTGTGTTAGAGCAGGAAAATCTAGAAACAGTTCTGGATTAAAGCCCTCCAGGACTGGAGCTAGACAACCCTGATCTACGGAGGTTGATTTATTACAAGATCCACATGCTCTAAGGAGTTTCTGGGGGAACTGTTGGTGATGAGGAGCCACAGACAATTCAAAAGTGTTAGGAAAAGTGCAGCGAGTGATACAGCTAAGCGTTCAGTGTTTGGAAGGAGCTTTGATTGAAGATGGTTGAATGTAAGAGTCCTGGTTATATGTCATTGTTGTGGGGGCTGTTTATAGACTCTGTAAGGGGCGGCTTTCATGCTTTAAGTGTTAAATCTTACTGTATTTATCTTTGGGTTGTGTGATTGATTACACTGAGACTGACAGTAGGGCTGGCCATTGTGACGATAGTCAACGTTATCAGGATGAATTAAGTCACAGTATGCGGATATTGTCAGTACTTCTAGCACCTGAACAACTGTGTTTCGTTGCGAAGACAGCATAATTAGTTCTGTTTGATTGGAAATAGTGCTGTGCAGTAGTTTAAATGTGGCTGTGGTTCTTTTTTGGCTGTATCACATCAGGAAAGATAAATATAGAGACGTTGTGTGTTGTGAAAATGTCTTGAATCTTGTGATATTTTTTTGCTATATCGACTCATTTTTGTCCCACAGTTGTTCAAAAATTGCAAAACTTTTCTTTGGATTGTATGAAATAATCTGTGGCATCTTAAAGTAAATAAATAAAGTTGTGTTTTTGTGCACATTATGGCTGCAACATATGAATGAATCAGTGGATCCTGGGCTGTTCCCACTCAAAGGGCTGTAACTAGGGGTGTAATGATACAATCAGCCCCTGAGTCGATTGCCGATACTCCTTTCACGATTTGATTTTCTGATGATATTTTGAACCGACCTGGAAAAACTGGAAAAAAAATATGATTATAATCATGTTGTTGCGCTAATTATACAATTTAGGAACCAGGAGCATGGCAGGAGTGGTGTGTTTGGTGCTGATTGTTTTACCAAAGTTGGTGTTCAAACAGTGCAGCTGATCATTTACAGAATTGATGATCATGAATCACAGCCAGTCACAACCATCTCTAAACTCTAAACACTGCTTCCTCCATCAAACGAAGGGAAAAACTCTGGCAAAACGCTTAAGAACAAACCTGCAGTGAGAACGGTGGTGGTAGTAAATTAGTTATTTGACTTAGAAATGGTGCAAAGGTGTTTGTGAGGAATGTTACATTAACAATCACAAGTTTTATACAGCATTACAGAACAATGTTGATCACTTAGCTGACCAGTTAGCTTTTATTTTAACTGCTGACAGCTAGTTAGCATTTAGCTAAGTCAGTTAGATTAAATCGGGCTGTACAGTACAGTATGCATTTGCTATGAAGTGCATATCAATGCATGCCGTTCTTTATATTGTTCCATTAATGTCTCATGTAAAGACGTTGAGTTATGGCGTCAAATCCGATTCAAAATCCGCAAGCGAGGAAAACCGCTTTTGCGCATGCGGAGGAAAATTAGCCTGACACTCGAATGTTCTTTCTGCTCGCTATTAAGCTCCTGGCGGGTCCCGACATATGATTGGTTACTGTTGCTTTCTGGAAATGTGTTGTGATTGGCTGTCTGTCAGTGGTCGTCAGAGCTTTTGCTGCATATAAAAAACCGGGAACAGGACGTTCACTCCAGAAGACGACCTTCAGAGTCCGCCAGTACAGCGGCATCGGCCGAAACGCTGCCTGAAATCGCTGAATTCTGTCTCTGTGAATGTTCAGTAATCATGATTAATCACTCTCAGCCGGTCTGAAGCCATTTTATAGATACTACATTCTTATAGTTGATACTATGATTGTGGTTTCCTCGTGCAAGTAGTTCTCTTCGCATGCGCGAGTGTAGTTGTCCTCACGCGCAAGAGCGGTTTTCCTCACTAACCAATTTTGAATTGGACTTGACACCATAACGAGTCCTCCTCTGCATCTACCATTGCCCTTAGGAGCCGCAGGGTTAGCTTTAGCACTAACTCATCTGAAGGGGCAGCTTCTGTTGCTGAAACGTCCTCCTGTTTTAGTGTTTTTGAACGTCAGAGAAGCTGAATATCATGATACGAATAGTCTAATTTATTCAGATATTGGGCTCTTTCTCGTTTTGCCCGAGCTGTGAATTATTAAATCAGTGCAAAGTGTAATCCTCAATGAAGCTCACATGGTGCATTGTGGGAGGAGAGGCAGATGTATGTGAGGAATGGTGAATAACCCTGTATAACCTGCTGTGGAGAGTGTGAGTGTGCGCAGGCGTGCGAGTGTGTGGTTCTGTGTGTTTTCTGAGAGGTGTCGTGCAGCGAGAAGCAGAGAAATACTCATCCCTTCGTTGGCCCTAGAGGAGACACTCGAGTGTGCTGAGGTGCATTAGCATGGAAGAAGAGCTCCGTGAGGCACACGAGGAGATGCTGCTTAGAAACGGAGGACGTTTTCTTTTTGCCAAGCCGCTTTTGGCTCATAAAATATCTGTCTTCACGCTGCTTTGAGGCGCCCACAGGGGAAACAATATTGGAATATGGCTGCAATTTTTATTACTTTTCTTGGTCTGTGTGATGTTGGGGGTTCTTAGTGCTGGTTTGGTGAAAATGTGTACGGTTTTCCCCCCAAATGCACTTAATCAGCCGAGACGGGCTTGTTCACAGTTTGCTTGTTTAGCTGATAAAATTCTGGACAAAGTTCAGCCTTTAGAATGGCTTTGTGTGGACCTGTGCGGCACACTTGTCCTTTTTTTTAAAGACGACACTTAATAGCAAACGACACGCGACAGACCTGGCGTGATCATGAAATCCTTTAGCGATGATTGTCATACAGGTAATTGACCTAATCCTCCTACTAACCATGTGGAAGATAACCGCAGTGAATGGTTAAACTGGGTTAGGGAGTTGGGGACTAGTGTGTCAGTGTCTACAAGCAGTAGCAGATGTACTTATCGATATGATGATGCTGCTCCTATTGCTACCACTAGTGCGATGATGGTGGTGATGACGATTGTGATCAAGATTAAGTCACCCTTATTGGTCCCACAGCGGGGAAATTTCACCTCCGCATTTTGACCCACCCATGCAGTGAAACACCACATACACACTAGTGAACACACACGCTAGGGGGCAGTGAGCACACTTGCCCGGGGCAGTGGGCAGCCCTATCCACAGCGCCCGGGGAGCAGTTGGGGTTAGGTGTCTTGCTCAAGGACTCTTCGGTCACGTACTGTCGGCTCAGGGGATCAAACCCTAACCTCCAGCCCACAACTGCCATGATGGTGGTTGTGATGAGGATGATGATGGTTGTGATGGTTGTTGTGGTGATGATGATGGTTGTGATGAGGATGATTGATGAGGAGGATGATGGTTGTTGTGGTGATGCTGATGGTTGTGATGGTAGTTGTGATGAGGATGATGATGGTTGTGGTGATGATAATGGTTGTGATGTTGTTGTGGTGATGATGGTTGTGATGAGGATGATGATGGTTGTGATGGTTGTTCTGATGAGGATGATGATGGTTGTGGTGGTAGTTGTGATGAGGATGATGATGGTTGTGATGGTTGTTGTGGTGATGATGGTTATGATGATGATGATTGATGAGGATGATGATGGTTGTTGTGGTGATGATGGTTGTGATGATTCTGATGATGGTTGTGATGGTTGTTGTGATGAGGAGGATAATGGCTGTGATGGTTGTTGTGGTGATGGTGGTTGTGATGGTTGTGGTGATGATGGTTGTTGTGATGCGGATGATGATGGCTGTGGTGGTTGTTGTGATGCGGATGATGATGGCTGTGGTGGTTGTTATGGTGATGATGGCTGTGATGGTTGTTGTGATGAGGATGATGGTTGTGATGGTGGTTGTGGTGAGGATGATGGCTGTGATGGTGGTTGTGGTGAGGATGATGGCTGTGATGGTTGTTGTGGTGATGATGATGGCTGTGATGGTTGTTGTGGTGATGATGATGGCTGTGGTGGTTGTTGTGATGATGGCTGTGATGGTTGTTATGGTGATGATGGCTGTGATGGTTGTGTTGAGGATGATGGTTGTGATGATGGTTGTGATGAGGATGATGATGGCTGTGATGGTTGTTGTGATGATGATGGCTGTGATGGTTGTTGTGATGATGATGGCTGTGATGGTTGTGATGATGATGATGGTTGTGATGATGATGATGGTTGTGATGATGATGATGGCTGTGATGGTTGTGATGAGGATGATGATGGCTGTGATGATGATGATTGAAAATAGCGGCTTTTTTCTTATAATTTCGAGACGGGTTCCAACTCTAAATTGGACAGGGTAGTAAACACAGTGATGGCGTGAGTTAAAGCTTAATACTTAAGGTCTGTTATATCTGTTTCATCATGAAAGTGTAGTTAAGCTATTAAGAAGTTATGAAGTTGTCCAATGCTGTCGTTCCTGCATTAAAGAGGAATATAACGTTCATTTCTTTGGGGTTACAAATGCAGTAAAATGAATAAAACAAGTATTTTTCCACAGTTACCCAGCGTCGCGTAAACATTCTGCTCTTCTGTGAAGCACCTAATCACCCTCTCATGTTTAGCAGGTTGGAGATTTGCCACAAGGTGTGCCGTAATCTGCCAAATAGCTTTTGAATCTTTATAACAGCACCAGTGTCACTTTGATTCTCTGTTAAGGAAATATCTGCCCATAGCCGCGTGACTCCGATCTCATCCTGCAACACAACTGTTCACATTGTTGAGACAAACATAACTGTAAAATCTC